GCCTGTGCAAAATCAATAAAGATACAATAAATTTTCTTTTTGTGATATCTCAGTATTTCAATTAGAGAAGTGAGTGTAAAGACATGGTCAAATGTTGAGTATGCTTTTTCTGAATCCTGCCCTGATTTTCTAATAGAATTTCATTTTCCTCAAGAAACTTATTTAAACGGTATTTAGTACATCTGTTAATACACTTACTCACACAAGACAAAAGTGTGTCATAGGTCTATAGTTCTCTCTGGACTAGTTGAACTGCACCTATTTTTGCTATTTCTGGTATTAATAACCCCTTCTGACCATTTAGTGGTATTAAACCGGGTTTCTGAATTTACATTTTGGAAAAGGGACACATATAAAGGCAATCATCTTATTCTTACTGTATTTTATTTTTATTTTTTTTTTTTTTTCATTTATTATTTTTTCCCTTTTCCACTTGCTTTTATTATTGTTTAATGAATTTATTGCTCGTCATGTTATTTCATCTGCATTATTGTAGTATTTAATATGTGATTATTATTTCAAATCTATGTTACATATATATATGAATCATTTTGAGTTGCATGTTCTGGGTTATTATTCTATTATCTTTAAAGAAATTGTACAGTGATCCTTTGTAGGTTGAGGCCTCAGCTGTTTTTTTTTCCCATTTTATTTAAGGGTTTTCCCCTACCCCTTTAGGGGGTTTATTTTTTTCAAGTTTTTTTGGGGAATTTTTCTTCATTTGTTTTTTTTATTATTAATAATTTTTTCCCCGTTTTCCTAATTCTGCTTACATAAGGAAAATGGGTTGTTCTTTGTTTTAAATGTAGGATTTTTTAAAGGAATTTATTTTTTTTTTGCTCTTTCTATAAAATTTTTTGCCCTTTTTTAAAAGTTCCCCTGGCCCCTACCAAGGGGCCTTTTTAGTTTTTATTTCTTTTTGCCCGGATTATTTTATACTATTTCTTTACTTTTTTTAACTAAGTTGGGGGATCTCCAAAAAGATTTCAGCCATGTTTTTAAAAACAAAGTCCATTTGGTTTGACTTAAAAGTTCCTTTTTTTTTCTTTTGGGCAAATTATAATAGTGTGTATAGTTTTCAGTATCTAATGTTTTTTCAAATATGCTACTTTTGTTGTTTTCCCATATTGTTTTTTATTAAATAAATATTCTTGAACTGGAACCTTTCTTGTTGTAAGTTCCCTATTTTCAAAATAAAATTCTACCATGCAATGACCATCTGACAGAAGATTATCTACCTCTATAATTTCAAAATTATTAAGTAAGTTATAACTTTGCAATGAACAAATTAAATAATCAATAACAGAGATGTTTCTATAAAGTCATTTTTCCCATGCTGTCAGTGGGAAAGCGTCCATTGACTTATGACTAAGTTTAGGTTTTTCAGCATGTCAATAATAACAGAAAGCCCAGTGTTATTCTTTTTTCTATCCTGTGAATTTCTATTAACTGGTATGCCAAGAGATTCCATTTGCGAGACCTGATCAAATATATGCTTACAGTATCTTTGGTCAAGATTGAAAAATCAGTCAAAAAATCATCATTTTCCCAGTATAATCTGCCATATATTGAAGTTAAAGCATTATAATCACCTGAAATAAATATGTACTCGTATAACCATTAAGAGAAGCAAGTCATTTCAAAAAAGTTTCCAACTCTAATCTAACTTATAAAAATCTAGAGTGTAGTGGTGGTATATAAACAATACCTATAATCTAGCAGCTGGGCCTCTACACGGTCTCAGGGTTTAAACAACACAATAGGGTTCTTGCTAGATATTTATTTTCGTGTGTAGTATTTACAATATAAATAACACAATACAAAAAATGGGCCTGAAAAGAAAATAAGGCATCATAAAAATATTACAACAATATCATTGTACTTATATTAATATATCAAATAAATCAATTTAAATAAGAAATCTACATGCACTTATTTAAAATATGATTAATTACTCTTTTATCAAAACATTATAAATATCACTATTGTAAATCCATATCATCTTTTCACTTAGTTAAAAGTACATCTCATCATAATCTACTATTTACATCACATGTACAATATTGTATATAACTTACACAATAAATACAAAACATCATTATATACCTTGTTGAGTGAAACAAGTACCTCTTTTAATATTTATAAAATATCCTCCACAAACAATCACTCGACCATCCAGTGTATGTGACTTGTGCTGTAAAGTTAAGGTTATATTCATGCAAGATGTTAAGAATAGGAGAAATAGTATTTTAGATCATCTATTACAAATTCTTACACAAAATCCAAAACAACTCACGAATCAGTCCAAGACATATAAAACCCATAATACACATAATATAATTTAAACCATTTAAGAACTAATAACTGTCACTATAAATTTGACTTTTCCACAATTAAAAAGTTCAAATATATTTAAGAACCATTTCTTCCTTTTGCAAAAGTTCAACAATGTTCAGTTAAATTCTTTTTTCAAGTATATAAAACTTCCTGGTAATTTCAAAGTTCAAAGTTCATATATTCTTGATGTCTATATCTTTTCAAAGTTGTATTCACAGCATCAAATAATTCAAATTCAATTCTAATTGAAGTATACTTTCAACAATTATCTCCCTTTGTTTCAAATCCTTCAGTTGTAGAGAAGTTTTTCTTAAAATTCTATTTTAGACGAATTATCTCCCTTCATTATCATATTTCTTCCAAGTGGTGAAGTATAATTTCCGATGAATTATCTCCCTTTTGACATATATCTGTAGTTGATCTATATATCTATCAATTCTCTCTCCCGTGAACTAAAGTGTAATCAAATAGTTATTTTGTGATTTAAATTTAGATTTATGGTGTTTCCCCAATTGTAGCTTTTTTATTTCTAAGGTAGTTCACCGTAAAAGCTGTATTTAATTTTCAAAATTTCCTTTTGAAGATTTCAAAAATATAGGTTTTTTGTTCCTTTCAAATTTGTTTTAAAATGAATAATGTATTTCTTTTCCAGAATTCTTGTAGTGTTGATAGACTTATGATGTTCAATTCATGTTAATATTCACATGTATATATTTGAAGAAATTTCAAAATAGCTGTTGATCCTTGTTCACTTCCAATCTTTATTCAATTTCAGTGCACTTTCAATTTTTTTTTTCAATCTATTTCATTCAAATAAATTTTTATGTGTCTCCTTCACTTTTATTTCAATGTTGCTCCTTTAATTCAAATTCAATGTTGCTCCTTTAATTCAATTTCAATGTTGTTCCTTCAATTCAAATTCAATGTTGTTTCTTCAATTCAATTTCAATGTTGTTCCTTTAATTCAATTTCAATGTTCTTCCTTCAATTCAATTTCAATAGTGTTCACTGTCCATTTTCATTTTGAAAGTTTTTCTATGTAATTCACTTTCTATATTATAATCTGTTCAGTTCTGTTCAATATTTTTACAATCTCTTATTTTCTATGTAATTCACTTTCTATATTATAATCTGTCCAGTTCTGTTCAATATTTTTACAATCTCTTATTTTCACTTCAGTTTATTATTTTCACTATAATTTCACTTTATGTTGATTATCGCAATTTCAAATTCAGACCTTAATATATTTTCTGAAAAAAAATTACATAGACATGGTACATGTTATTCAATAATTTACCTCAATCTGTTCTTTGCTTTGGCTTTATCTGTACTTGACTCAGTAACCTAAAAACAATTTATGCATATAAATATCTGTATCTGTTTTCTGTAATCTGTAAATCTGTAATCTGTAAATCTGTAATCTGCAATCTGTAAGACTGTATTCTTATCTGTAAAAAATTGGAAACAAATATGTGCTGCAAAACACAGCTGTTAATTATCAAGTTGACAGATGTTAACTATAATTAATTAATCACCATTTACTTCTAAATCAAATTGTAATCACAGACCACACCAGGTTGGTAGAACCAATCAAAATAAATAATCTAACAAAATCACTGCAAACACCTAACTACCAGTGAAATCCCGCTTGAAATGTAACAACACAATGAACCAACCAACCAAATAAGAGATTGACCGTAAAACAATAATTCGACTTAATTTGCTGAATATATTACACTCAAATATTACAGAGAAAATGAATGGATGATGAAGAATTATAGAAATAGATATTTGTTAAAGAGAAGATAACTCCATGCAGTAAATACCTCAACCAAGTGCTCTGTTGTGAACTCCTCTTACATATCTTGAAACTTGAAACTTGAAAACTTGATTTAACGCCTATTTCTACATATAAAATACATATTCAATGGCGTTGTACAGCTATATACCTTAAATGTGCTACTCCCAGTGCTACCATACACAATACTCCCAGCAGTGCGACGGTCACAGTGATTGGGTCAATCCCCACCAACATGTAACAATCTACACCCCTGCACCCCTGCACATGATAACACATGGGCTACACTTTATTATATTATTATACAATGAAAAATAATAAAAACACTAAAATATACAAACATGCACAAAACAATTAGGAACAGACAATGCCTTCAGCGTCACTTAAAAAAGTGCAAAAAAGTCCTTGAAGTAAAATGATTTCAGTTGTCTTTTGAAAATTTCAACAGATTCACATTTTCTCATATTAATAGGTAGTTCATTCCACAATTTTGGTCCTATCGTGCTAAAAGCTCTGGTCAGAAAAAAGTCCTCTTCTTATTAAAAGGAACAACATAACAACCAACTGAGGATTCAGATGATCTTAAGGTTCGTTTTGACACTTGATGAGACAAAAGCTCTATTAAATATGATGGTGCGTTTCCTACCGAACAGTTATACATGTATGTCAGTATCTTGAAACTGATTCGTGCTTTAATCGGAAGCCAGTGCAGATCGAATAATGCCTGTTTAGAACTATCATACTTGGAACGACCTAACACCAGTTTGGCACACATATTTTGAATACGTTGAAGTTTGGCTAAATTCATTTTGAGATATGCCGTACAGAATGATGTTGCAATAATCTAAATGGGATATTACTAAAGATAAAACAAGTGTTTTCAGCGGCTTCCTTTGTCAGATACTTTCGAATGCTCTTGATCTTGAAATAGTTTAACATAGCAGTTCTACACTTTCTTTTAATGTGATCTTTGAAATTTAGAGACTCATCCAAAAAAGCACCAAGATAACGTATACAATGTTGTGATTCAATAACATTACCACATATATTGATTTCTTTGGTGTTACACTTATTCAGCTGTGGACGACTTCCGAAAAGAATAAACTCTGTCTTTGAATTGTTCATTTTTAACTTGTTGCTGTTCATCCACTCATTTATATGCACTGCACAGTCCTGGAGGTCCCGAATTGCGCTTGCCTCTGCGGTAGGTGATGGTTTAAAACGTTTATTCGCAACGTGGTCGTCGGCAAATCCGTGCACATTTATTCTTACATAAACAAAATATACTCACATTCCTTTATAGCATTAACTAATACATACTATTATTATGTACTGGGTCACCAAATTAAGTAATAAATAAAATATCAATTACTTAAAATTCTTATATCTTGACTTGAAGCGAAATCTTATTTGTAATTAATAATTAAGTAACTTTAGATAATCTAATCTTGATATTAAAACAAATTCTAGCAAAATATATTCTCTATTAAGCTTTATCTTTACACAACTTACAAAAGTAATAACCTGTATAGTTACACTATGTCTTAAATCTTACTGAATATAATTGCTTAACTTAGAGACTTATAAATCAACAATTACATGATTAATTACATAATTAATATGAAATTTTCCTTCAAAATGTAAATTATAATTTACTTAAATTTTATAAACAGATAAAAATATACAAATAGTGACCCAGGTAAATATTTACACTTAAACTCACCAATATACAATACTAACACCTAGGTAATAAGTGATTCACTTGACCAATTTCACACACACAGTCATACAGTTCCACAATGATGCTGCTCCTCTCACAATGCTGAAATCTGTCCTCAGATTGATCCACGCAATAACCAATCAATCCACGTTCCAATACCAACGACACTGTACCACGTCAATCAACACAACTATACAACGCCAATCCACACCACTGTACCACGCCAATCCACACCACTTTACCACGCCAATCCACACCACTTTACCACGACAATCCACACCACTTTACCACGCCAATCCACACCGATGTACCACGACAATCCACAACGTTGGGCGCCAATCTAGCAGCTGGGCCTCTACGGTCTCAGGGTTAAACAACACAATAGGGTTCTTGCTAGATATTTATTCGGTGTAGTATTTACAATATAAATAACACAAAACAAAAATGGGCCTGAAAAGAAAATAAGGCATCATAAATATATTACAACAATATCATTGTATTTATATCAATATTAAATAAATCAATTTAAATAAGAATCTACATGTACTTATTTAAATATGATTAATTACTCTTTTATACAAACATTATAAATATTACTTGTAAATCCATATCATCTTTCACTTAGTAAAAGTACATCTCATCATAATCTACTATTTACATACATGTACAATATGTATATAACTTACACAATAAATACAAAACATCATTATATACCTTGTGAGTGAAACAAGTACCCTCTTTTATATTTATAAATATCCTCCACAAACAATCACTCGACCATCCAGTGTATGTGACTTGTGCTGTAAAGTTAAGGTTATATTCATGCAAGATGTTAAGAATAGGAGAAATAGTATTTTAGATCATCCATTACAAATTCTTACACAAAATCCAAAACAACTCAAGAATCAGTCCAAGACATATAAAACCCATAATACACATAATATAATTTAAACCATTTAACCTAGAGATAGATAACCAACTGTAAACCAAAAAGAATAAATACCTTAGTCCAATTCTCCTCCAAACACTTTAAATATAAAATAACCTATCAAAGAGCAAAGCAAAAATGTCCACCTTCCTCTAACTCTAAAACTTTGAAACTACACACCAAACCTGGTCATGTGATCACAATATAAGAATACTCTCATCTGATTGGATGAAAACATACACCTGTCAACTCAGATTATAAATAGTTAAACATGTACAATAGATTGGAATGTGTGAGAAGTTCTCACTAGTATTAAAGACCAATGATGCCTGTAAACATTAAAGGCACATCATGACCAAAAATATAAATATTTTAAAAAATGTTTAAATGTTGAAATATTAGCACTGCTACAATAATTATATCACTACCATAGTAAATATTATTAATTTTTATCCATAATGCATATTCAGATTCGCTACTCAATATTTCTGTTTTATTAAACAAATTTTTTTTTACAAATACACCGATCCTTCCGGATTTCCTTTTATATTTTTGTTTTCTTGGCATACTAATAAACTCATAACCAGGAATTGAAATTATATCATTTTTGTCTAATTTTGTTTCAACTATACCAAAAAAATCATAATGACTAACAGTTTCTATAAATTCGGGGTATAATATCTTACGTTTCAACCCACATACATTTAAAGTACATAATTTCAATACACTGTCAGTTCTACAATCGGTGTTTACATAAGCGTGGGAATTTTCACAATCGCTATAGTCTGTTTCAGAGTTATCACTAGTTACAGTAGTGTTACTATATGATGAGTAGTTTCTACATGAGAGGTTGCAATGTATATCACTAGAACTTGTCGCAGAAGAACTTACACTATTATTTATGTTTATAGTTCTTGATAATCCCCTGAGTTCCTAGCAGGAAACACTGACATTCGATTTTGCTGTTGTATGAGTTTTTCCTGTTGTTTTCCCATGGCCTGAAGAGTCATCAGCAGTTGGTTTTTTTTAGGTGCGCTCATCGGTAGAGGATTCTCCTTCCTCGTATAACATTGCGAATTTATTGCTTAGGTTTAAAGGTGCATTGGTATTTTTTCGCGATAGTCTGTGATGCATTTTCTGCATTTCCTGAGAGTAAACATCGTTGATACTATTAGTGCTCTCAGAATCACTATGGTCTGAATTTTCTGATTGCATTTCGACGACTGTATCACTGTCAATATTGAAAGCGGTCTGTTTGCTGTTCGATGATACCTGTATATGTGCATATTCACTTTGTTTATTTATGCTATTTTTCATATGTTCGTTATTTATGGTTCTTGGCCTTTGTATGGTTTCCTTCCAATCTGGGAATTCGTCCTGGACGACCTTTCTGTTTACTATGAGCTTTGCGGGATATCCTATGAATACTTGACCCTTTTTAACTATGGATACTGCGTTGCTTTTTGTACTCTGGCCAAATTTTAGTTCGTGCAGCAACTATTTCCTGGGGATAATCTCTATTTATTCCATAATTTGTGTTTTTCAAAAGGTTGGCTTTTGAGAGGATATATTCAACATCTTTCCTCTGTGAGAAGGTACAAATAATTGGTCTAGTCTTACCACGTGGTGCTTCCAATTTCGATGGCAGTCTTCTACACAGATGCTAGTGGTATCAATATCTAGATACTGCTCAAGGAAGCCAGCAAGCGTATCTTCACAGTTCTCATTCAAATACAGCTCTTGAATCCCTCTGAATATGAGATTGTTTCTACGGCTTCTAGCTTCTTGGTCTATACTTTTGTATTGTAGGGTTTTAAGGTAATATTTAGTTTTATCATGTTCTACTTCTATATTGTCAAGTTTTGTTTCGACGGCTTGCAGACGTTGCGTCAACCCACTACTATTAGCAATCATATCATACAAGGCATTAAGTTTCTGATCAGTGTCCATTTTCACAAATTCATTTTTAGATACGCATTTAGTATTTTTCATACTGCTATTATTGCTATTATCATAAATGTCTGCGTACGAACCCCTTGTAGACCTTCTTTTACGCTTGACCACTGACCAATCTGTCCGTGCACGAGATCCGCCATCTTGTGTTGACCCACCTGGTACACCTGATTTTACCTGTGCAGATTTGCCGCTTAAATTTTGTCCAAATTCCAAATTAAAAGCCATAATTTTACCCTGTAAAATCCGTATATTAACTCTGACACTGTTTTTTTCACAAAAAGTTATTTGAAATATGAGTTATTTCCACTAAAAAACACAAAATTCTACAGAGCAATTTAACGTGTATTTCACTACCAACTGTCACGTGATCAAAAAAAAAAAAAAAAAAAAAAGAACGTAAAATTCACTCATTTTGGACAAAAGTCAATCAACACGCTAAATAGATTAACTTTTATAAAAACAGCTTAACTTGTTACAAACATAATCATCATTATGAGACAGGCTATTGAGCAATAATTGTCTAGTTTGTGTTTTTCACACGTCTGAAAGAGCAGACAAAGAAAATTATTAGTCGAGATAAACAAAGGATAATAGTGTGAAAATAACTGTTGGGGCTGAAATTTTACATCGAAATACTGAAAAAATCGAAATCAAAAAATCGAGATAAACAAATATTTCCAATATAGATAAAGAGGGAAGAAAATCGGGACATTCAACATTTCATCGAGAAACTTTGCCAGAAATGAAAAGTTAATGCACGAAGGGATTAGGATCTCAGCTCAGACGATACGGAATCGTTTTAGCCAAGATAGAGCACACTTTCGTGTGCGTAGACCTTATGCATAACGAATTCTGACTGCGTGTTACAGACCCGCCGGCTTAGCTTGCGCTCAACGTTAAAGGCACTGGACTTGAGCTTTTTCTGACGGTATGTTCAGAGTTTGGTGGTAGCAATGTCATGGTTTGGGTGGACATAATGAACAATCAAAGAACAGATTTGAAAATTGTTCCGGGTTAACCTTTATCCAGTAGGGTAAGTGAATATCCTTAGAAACAATCCTTAGCAAAATCGGGTTCCGGGCGTGACTCTGCAGCAGGACAACGTGAGGACCAACAGCGCTCGTGTTTCGACCCAGTTTATGACTCAGAACGGCGCCAACGTCTTTAAGTGCCCGGCCGATACGCCCGACCTAAAGATCATAGAAAACATTGGGGACGAGTTTGGGGTTACAGGTACAAAAACAATCATAAAAATCAAAAAATTAAATTTGACTGGGAAACATTTTTCCCCCCTTTTAAACCGGGAACATTCCCAATGACGTCATTAAACCTTTCTCAAAACCTCCTGGGGAAAGGTTTTTTAGCAACCTGTTTAAGGAAAAACAATGGTAAACAAAAGGTTTAACGTTCTAACACAATTTTAAAATACATTAAACTTTCCCCAGATTTTACTCAAAAGGATAGTTAAACAAACAGTTTTATCGTCAGACAAACATAGTTATTTGCCATTATAGTTAATACTTTACTGATGAAAATCAACATGACAAAATGATGGATTATGGCCATTTTATAAAGACATGCATACATATTCAACAAAAAAAAGTATTGTAGTACACCAACAAGACATAAAGTGATGAATTAAAACTAGCATTCTAGAGTGTTGAGAATTGAGTACCGCTCTAGCCGGAATGTGGCACCTTTCATTATCCTTCGTGTACATACTCAACCAATCCGAGTCTGCAATTTTCATGTAATGTTGTTGTGATAAATGCTGCCGAGGGATCGCTTGGTTTCCAGATTTCTATGCGTTTTTGAATCACTCTGGTTTAAATAAACTTAAGGTAGTGCACCCCTATCTCTACTTTGAAGAGTATTCAAATAGGCTAGAATTAGTGTAAATGGTATTGAAACTGAGGGACGTGGGCTCAAATCCCAGAAGGGGCAACCTTTTTTTTTTCTTTTTAGCATTTTTTATTAATCTTTCAGATCCCTAATGAAAAAAGTGTTTCATTTTAATTATATAATTATTGTAGGTATTTATTGACTAAATAATGCCAAATTAATAAAAATTATGATACCAGATATACTCAAAGTTTTATGAAATAAAAAGCACACGGAAAAATATTTTAAATTTTGCAAGATTAACCAATATACATTTAAGAAAATGTAGGCAAACTTTAAAAACAGCCCCTCATTGTAAGACATTTTAAGGAAGATTTCAAATAAGGCATTTTAAATAGGGAAATGGTCAAATAATTTATAAAAGTTTCTGGGGTAGGGTTACATTTTTATACATATTAAAACATTCCTTACCTTACTCTGTATTCTAAGTTGTCAATAGCTTAGCATATGTATTGATTGATTTCAATAATGAATATCTATTTCTTGAATGTTAACTAGCTATCCAGCTAGCTTACGGAACGTCGGTGGTTCTACTCGGGTGCCCGTTCGTGCCTGAAATAATGCACGGAAGGGCACCTGAGGTCTTCCTCCACCAGTAAAGCTGGAACGTCGCGATATGACCTATACTGTGTCGATGTGACGTAAAGCCCAAAACAAACAAACAAAGAATGTAAACTACCGATAAATTCTTAGTCAATTCTGTTTGTTTAGGATTGCAGTTTAAGTAAATATAGCAATCTTTGCCTTTAACTTGAAACTATATATCTCTTTCAAGTAGTAAGTACTGCATTTTACAAAGTATTTTAGTAAAACAACTTACTTCACAATATCACACATTCTAATACAATTTCAAAATTTTCATGAAAGTTAGCATAAATCTGGAGGCGTACTGCTTTAAACAACAGTCTATATACAGGAACACGATCAGACCGATGAAAATGAGCTAATGTTAATCATTTATTCTGATCACGTATATAAGCAAGATCCAATTTCATTTATGCAAACAACGTTTTGAATTTACAAGAAGTATATGTCAGGCCTCGACACTAAGTTTTTTAGCAGGTGGTACGCTGGACCACTAGATTTGAAAGTTAGGTGGTCCTTCCAGAAGTCAGGTGGTCAGTTATCATTATTATATCATTTTATTGCAAATGTAGAAAAAATGTTTAAACTTTATGACAAAGATGTATTATTAACCTTTAAAGAAAACAGATATTTTAAGATATATATTTTTCATCTAATCAGAAAAGGGAGAGCAAGTCAGTAGGTATTTTATCGTAGAGTTATTTGTTTTTATCTCAGTCAAAAATACACAACAGAGCTCTTATTTATGTAAACTTTTATATTAAAGTGATTTCTCCCTCAACTCAAGTTAGGGAATAGTGAAGCCATTTGTGTCTGTGAAGTGTTATTTTCTTACTGTTATTCAAATACCGTATTCATTGCTGATACGTGGTACGTCTTATAATCATGATAATAACATAGCATTTTTTAAAGATTAACATTTTTAATGGAACTAATAAATTATCTTATTCTTGTCTTTGAAAACAAGGAAATATCTAAATTATTAAAATAATGACAACATTATTATTTACTGTAACTTATCTTATTTTTCTCACACTTTTATAATACAGAATTGTACATGTACCTCCCTGTTGCTTGTTGGTTGATATTCATTTTTGACATTGGGTATTTTTAACCTTTTAAAATAATTTTAACTCTAGAAGAAACAGATCTCTTATCGTTAAACAGTTAAAATAAAGATAAATAGCATAGAATTACTAGATGTATTTTTCCAGTTCCTTTCGTTTGCTGCCATTATTCAAGTATCTGAAATTTAAGTTTATCCAATATCATATAATTACCATCATCGGATACTCATGGTTGATTAACATGTACCATAACATAAATGTTAATGGTTCCGCTGTGGGTATCAGACGATGCATAATTACTAGCACCATTTGAATGAAATTTGTACCTAAATTAATATCACAAATTCTTATCTCTTTTAACTTGCATAAACAAAATTTTAGCGACTTAAAATGAAAGTTATTGATGACTTAAGAACTTCTTTAATTGATCAGAGATTAATGAACCATGTACATTGGACATAGATTAATGATTTTAAACATGTTTTTGACCAAATCGCAATTCTCCCAAATGAGCCTTGCATCAACCAGAAAATTCAAGTGGTCCGACGGACCAATGGGTTTTAAAATTAGGTGGTCCTTGCCAAAATCAAGTGGTCTCGGACCAACGGACCACCGCTAATGTCGAGGCCTGTATGTTACTTTTGTAATTATAGACTCGCCTCCTACTACGATAATACAATTTGAATTGGGTAGGACTGCTTCAACACTTCATTTTCATATTTTATGTGTCCTAATGGCCTTCTTACATGAGGACGAAATTAGTATCGTTGGTTGTTATTATGCCAGACAACCTGCACACAAATATTGCGTCATAAAAACTCATATTATCAAAGATACCTTGCTACAGTTATTGCCCCCAGAATCCTGGATATTTATGACATCAAGTAGTGCATTATTTAGTGAGAGAAGAAATCATTGGATAGTCAAAAACTAAAGATAATGAATATGAGGATACGAATACCATTTATTGTTGACATTGAAACTGTGTCCCAACGTGGCCATAATATTGTCAGAGATTATAAACAGTTCTTTAACATTTCCGATACACAGATGCAACATACTGTAGAATATTTTCGTTATTGGGATATACTTAGGTTGTGTTGAGGAATACAAATATATGCTGATTGGAGATTTCATTTGGTATTTAAGAAACCATACGTACCACACCATAACCCCCATAGTCCATCGTATCCTGCTTGCGAAATGTATAATATAAGTGCAGTAGAACATTTACTTATGAAAACATATGTATATCAACATTTTGCCAATGTACCTTCTCTGCATAACACTATTGGAAAACCATCGAGATTTGATGGTACACTCGACGGTCATTACTGTGAGCGATGTAGCAGACATATTGAAGCAAACAGTTTGAAATTTAATGAAAATTGTTCTTACTGATAAAATATTTTTACGAAGAACTACATTTACTACAAATTGTGAGTAAATAAAAGTTTGTAAAATTCATTTAAAATTACAAAATGGTAAACTATTGTTATTTTTTTTCTATTTCTTTCAAGAATATGATAAAGTGTAATAATATAGTTTAGGTGACGTCTGAAACATCGTCAATTATACAGCTGAAACCTTTAAATTTTTAGGAATATGCTGTTGCAAAAGTTCCAAATGTTTTAAAAATACAATATAACATTTAGTGAGGTCACTTATATTCTAAATTAATTTACTAATTGTCTTCCAAATATCTTGATACTACATTTTCCCACATTGTACACACGAATTATATGTATACATATTCCATTTCAAGTCAATCTTTTCTTAATTTTAACAGATTAACAGCATAATATTTTAAAAAGAGATAATATTGATACATAGATAATTTTCGAATCTATCTCTTTGCTTCTATAAATACATGAATGCTAGCGTATGAGGTGCGCATCGGTAGAAGCAGGTCTGACGAAATATGATGTAATTATCAGTGAAAGTACAAAACAGTTTAAAATAGGATATACGTAACAAGTCCTTGTAAAAATTCGAGAAAGACAATTATTTGCATACTTGTATATTTCAAATTCAGGTATACAGGTGTTGTTCAAGAGGTACTTGAACTGCAGTTCAAATATCGAAACATGTCATTTTATACAAGAAACAACTGATCTTTATCTATAAATGACCTTGACTTATAATGTCAGATGTCCAAATTATCTTTGCAATTCGCTATAAGTGGCTATAACTTTGTTATTGTTGAATAGATTGTCTTCAAACTTGAACATAATAAACTTTGAGGATAGCCCTTTAGGTAAATTAGACAGATCTTGACAAATCTCTCTCTCTCTCTCTCTCCTCTCTCTCCCTCCTTCCCTCCATCCCTCTCTCTCTCTCTCTCTCTCTCTCTCTCTCTCTCTCTCTCTCTCTCTCTCTCTCTCTCTCTCTCTCTTTATTATATATATATATATATTGCCAAGATCTGTCTGGTTAATATAAAATTTAGAAAATAAGTACACCTTAAATTAGCCGCGACCGAAGTAAGACTAATAAGTGGTACAGTGTAAAGTGAATGAAAAAACAAACAAAAACAACTTTGAAATATGCTGCCTGTACAACTTTATCTTCTTTGTTATAAATATGGCTTTCTTGTTGTGTTTTTGTTTTAAATAATGCCTTTGCATTTTAAGCATCTTCTTCTAGATTATATGTCCTCTCTTAAAATGCCCATCCCTTCTTGTATGTCTATGTCGATCTTGTTTTCACTATTCGCTCCTTCGAACCTATTATTGTTTATACATGTTTCTAACCCAATCTTCTTTAAACTCTCTGTCTTTTCCATCATTTTTATTTCCTCTTCTCTCTGTTTTTTTCTCGTTTCATTATCATCAATCTTTCTTTTTCTCCAATTGCATTTTACCTCTTCTTTGTCAAAGAATTTTCTTTCTTCACTTTCTCGTTTCATTATCATCAATCTTTCTTTTTCTCCAATTGCATTTTTCCTCTTCTTTGTCAAAGAACTTTCTTTCTTCACTTTCTTTTGAAATTCGCACCAATGTTTCGGCTCTTTATAAAATTTCTTTGATTTCATCACTTTCAAGAAACGATAATTGAATTATAATTACTTTACTTGGCATGATTAGAGGTCAAATATGCGGACGTAAGTTTCTGCCCAGCTACCGAAGTTTGAACATCTCAGAAATAATAAACCAATATTTCAGATAAATTTATTGGAACCTTGGACTGCGTATTTACGGAGTCTGTCTGTCAATCGCATCACTTAAACATTGAGTTAGGTGGAATTAAATTGTACCCGAACGCTCGATACCAAACTGGTTTTCTTTATATTCAATAAACGTGTATTTTATATCAAATTAAACTTATCGATTAAAGAAGGCACGTTCTTGTTCACCTTTAATTTAACTTGATTTCAAAGTTTGAACTGATCATTTTATAAGCATGTGTAACCAATCATCTGTCAAAGATATCATAAGAAAAATATTGATTATAAAAGTAAATATTGTTTCAATAATTTCATTTGTATGGGCTTAATTACCAGCCAGCCCATGCATCTTACAATATAAGCGCCCAACGGTGGACTCACATAACGTAGAGAAGGTTATCTTAAGTGTGCCTAATTGTGAATTTTGAGAGAAATGAAAGTTTAGTTTTAGGAGAGAAAAAAGTAGGAAATTTAACCTGGAGCAAGAAATTGATTTGGGTGATGCAGTATGCATACTAAAGGCTTTTTACAGGAGGCTAAAAATACGCAATAGGAATGATCGGTAAGCATATATAAAACATATAAAAACAGGGAGAAACAAAATCCCTAAAGAAAGCCCAACACGGCAAAATTGACAATGTTGAGGCTCTGTTTGATAGAGCCTGTTCATGGACGGTTCTGGAAAGTGCAAGTAACCGTTCACGCCCCTTAGCACCTGATTAGCCATAATTCAACATTTATACATAGATATATATAGAGCTTTAAACTGCAGAAGTCAGTCTGTATCTAGCTGCCGAAGTGTTAACATCTAAGAAAAAAATATTTCAAATGAATTGCTTGGAAGCTTGGACAATTTACGACGTCTATCAATAGCCTGACTTTAACATTGGGTTGTATTTGATAGCACTAAACGATTGGACATTTGGAAACGAAGAAGGTTTTCTGTATATTTAAATAATCTGGAAAATAACACTTCTGCTGTATCTCAAATAAAACATATCTATTCTTAAGATAAAATCCATTTAAAGTTACTTTTTTTTAAGAAAAATATTGATCATTCAAGTTTTATTGTTCCTATTCTTATCGTCATTTTTAATTCATTAATTCTTAAAAACTTAAAAACCATTTGTAAAGTTTTTATCACAAATATCAGAGAATGCATCTTTGTGAAGGATATAACGAGGAAAAATAACGAACAACAATCAATTCAATCAGCTTTTCGTGCAATTGCAAAGTCCGTGTGTTATAATTTTCTTGTTTTCTTTTTTCAATTTCCTATAAACAATCACTACTACATTGTATTAAGTTTAATAATAAAAATAATCATTTAATGTCCCTGTCATTTTGCTATCTATCCCAAACATTTGCTTAGTTAACAAAAAGATATCGGAGATGATCGTTGAGTTTGACAGGTGTAATTTTTTTCTCAAAACATCTCATTTTTCATTTTCAGATGAATGATCTTTACTTTGTGCATATCCTTGTTTCATTACTCATCATACTGGGGAACAATATTTGTAGTGGCGATTCCTAGGTCTTGTAGAAACCCGATAATGTAATTTTAAACGTGCGAATTAATTATAAAGGAACAATGTCAATTTATTAAGTGTTTATTTACATGTATCTCAACATGAGAAAACTAATTATGTTTAGAGATAATAGCGAATTAAACCCATTCCCTAAATCTAGAATTTTTTTTATTTTTGTTGGCAAACGCCAAATTACGTAATTTTTCTGCAAACGTTGCAATATGGTAATACAACAATTTGGCATAATTTCAAGCAAATAATTAAATAAAGATATGACTTCATTTTTTTCTACACTTCTTTTCTGATAGCTATTACCTTATTAAAATACAAATCGCGGATTCTCTGAATGTGTAAAAAAATGTCCAAGCCTTAAACTCTCCTGGCAAAGTAAATGATAACTTACATGTAATACGTAAACGGAACATCTTGACTTTTATCCATAATAACATTTTTACAGATTGAAAGAAGTTATATATGTAACCATAAACAGAGGGTATAATATGTGATAATGTAAAATGAATATGTATATTTGCCATCCAAATGAAAGCATATTTTAAAAGAACATTATCTGTATTTCCATTCTAATTTGATTTATCTTTACTCTCCAATCTCACAGTTTAAAAGAAAAAAACACTATTAAAGTAATTGCGTTAACTGACAGCTTTTATAAATACCCTAACTTTATTATAATGGGCGCACGTATATTAACCGCATGTGTATGTATTTGTGTGTGTACGCGCGCCTGTGTGTGGGGGTTAGGGTTAGCACAATTACCATACGCCAATAATTGGGGTATTTTACTATGAATGCAAATGTACCACGTGATTAAAATGTTTGTACTATTACATAGGTAGCAGTTCTTCTAGTCAAGCGGTACATTTTCAAGAAAATGATTTGTGACAGAAACATATATAGTGTGACACACAGCAAACAAACTAAAAACATATGCTAAACATATTTTTATTTCTACTTTATTTGAATTGATGATTTGCTTGTGTTCATTCCGAATATATTCAACAAAATAGCCAGCTGGATTATTATTTCAATCCTAAAAAATACATTATTTTAGTTGTATATATTACGATTTTTTTTTTTTCTACTTCACCACTATAAAACCGGACAATACATAATTAAAATTCGATTTCCTACAATTTCAAAGAAAGCTGTGAAGGTAATTGTGCAAGATGTAAATATTTGGTAGAGAGATTAAAAGACAACAAATAGCTTCAGACTATGTATGAATGGAGAGTAAACAAATCAGATGGATAATTCTTTGATATGTTTGAATTAAATCTCACATGTAACCCATTTAAGTTTGTTTGTTCTGATTTTGAAATAAAACACAGCGTATTTTATATATTTATGGCTAGCAAGTATCAGCATTTATTCAAAGGATACAAGAAAAGTAACTATCATATAGTTCATTCTTCACTTTCCGGATATTTTCATCCAATTGATATCGAGAGATTTTCAAATTTATGCTCCACTAATTGTATATTTTAAAATTATGCACAATATTTATTAATTGAAATCAGTAAGTGATTTATTATATGGTCAATATTGCAGTTTCCAAATATGGAGAAGGAAGCTTCGACTACTGAAATGGTCGATTCTCATATGGAAGAAAATAGAACGCTTTAAATATTGCGCAATTTCAATATGTAAATAAGCTATTTCAGAAAAATATTTTATGAATGGCTGTTGAACGGTCTCATTTGATTCATTTTCTGTGCATGTTATTTTCCATTTAGCATATTCAGGCTGAATGTTTTGTCTGCAAAAAGGCATTCCAATCTCCACATAGACGGACAACTTTCATATTTCTGCACAGGGGAAGGGGCTGCATCGTATATCTGTAAAAGTTTCGGTGTTCTAGTAAAAAATGACCAGAGACCAATTTACAAATAACACACTTCTCTGAGCTTCTAATTATCACCCGTTGCTATATTCAATGTCTGTGTTTTAATCATTTATAAATAATGATATTAGTGATGTTCCCACAAGATTATGTGATCCCTAAATGAAAAAGAAAAACATGGCAGCAACTATATAGAAACGCATTTTTACGAGGAATTGAAAGGAAATGTAGCCGGCGTATCACAGACAGCTATAAGATTACAAATGTGAAAAGCGGGAAAGCTTGAAGTATCAAATAAGGAAACGTTGTAAAACAATTAAGAGTAGAATGATATTAAAAATTTTCAAGGAACGGAAATATGATATGAATCGAAAGTACGTTGATGCACTTTTAAGCCATCACGTGTATCAAGAAAAGCTGGCGTGACAATTACTCGTAGATAGTAAGAAAATGAAAAAAAAGAATTACTTAAGTTGCTCGTCGAAACGCAAAGCAAATAATTCTCAAAGGGTTTTAAGAATTACTGAATGTAGACATAAAATGTAACAGAAACCACACATACTACAATTATACTGCTGAATATAACTTTTATGTTAATTTGTCGTACTTGCCTTTGTACGTTATTAAGAATTGAATGGAAAATAATAATGAATATATTTAGGTATGCGCCTCTGCAAAATCTTTTAACGGTGGCATAATATATGGATTCTACTAATGCTGCTTATAAATGACTATAAATATTGTCTGAAAGGATTCACAAACCCTTAAAATAATCAAATTCTGATTTCTTCTGTAAACAACTAGTTTTATCAAATAGATGTGCCGGTTTGTTTTCATATCCAAATAAAAGACAGTCGCCTAATACGACATTGCTTAATCTCTCCATATATTCATCAGATATTGTTGAATACGCCTGAGTCATCGCTTCCACTTTCTGTGATTTTAATTTGTCTTTATAAATTGCTGATATCTTCATTGCTTTAGTCAACTCTCTTATAAAGTCTTCTTTTTTAATGTCAGTCACATCGCTTTCATTAAATGGAAAATTTATTGCATTTAATACATGTCCTGTAATTTGGTAATAACACCATGCACGAAGGTACACATCATAAAGAGATATACTTGAACCTTTCAACAGAGGAATAATTCTAAATAAATGCTTTACAGGTCCTAAAGTAGTCCAATTTTTTAAAGATATTACAATATCTTCCCAATACATTCCTAATGATTTTTCCTCGTGCAGTTTATTAAACATGAAATCATAGTCCTTTTTTAGGGTCTCAAGATGTGCAATATAATCGAACTTAAAAACACATGGATTACAGGATTTATGGTGCATTGGTCGGACATGTTCATCTAAACGATTACCGATTTCAAATGTATGCACAGTATATTTAACTAATTCAAAAAATGTTAAATCATGCCCATACATAAGACTGTTATTTGAAATATTTGATCGTGTAAGTTGAATGAGTTTAGTTCCTCTGTAAAGCCAATCTTCCTTCGGAAAATAGAAAATATTGCAGTAAGTGGAAAACAAACGGCCATAAGGTTCACGGACAACCATAAATGAAAATGCATCATCCATCATTTGTCGTGCGTTTTTTTCTAGACGAACCCGTTCAGCATTTTTTATTAAGCATTCTGTGTCACAGTTAAACAACTGTTTAAGTAATTCTAATGTCATTGTGGATGCACATTTATTAACTCTACAGTACAAAAGTTTTAGGTTTGGTGACATGTGTGCCCTAATATCCGTTGAATTTGCATCTACCGAATAGCCCAATGTTCTACATCCTCTATAAAGTTTGTCTAACCTATTTGTATTATTCACCATTGTGTCAAATGAAGAGTCACATTTTCCCTGAAAAAAACTTCGAAATGTATTGTTAACTTAAAAAAAGAAATGCCGATGCTGGTAAATTTTATAACATTTTACATGAATTGAAAATGAAAAGATATATTAATATAAGTATGGGAAAATTTCCATGTCGCAACAAGATATACTCCGATGTCATATAATAAAATATTAAAAATCACGATTAATGTGATTAGCATTATTCTTGTAATGCTATAAGGAAACAAACAAGGCTAATAAAAGTAAGCCTAGCTGTTTGAAAATGTTAAAATCAATTAGTCAAAGTTTATATGTTTTGTACTTAAAGTGATATATTTGTGATGCACACATATTGTCTTAATACATTCATTTTAAGACCGCAAATAGAATATTACATACATGTATAAGATGCTTTTAATGTGTACAATTTGCGACCAATTGCATAAAGTTGGTGGCTGAGTTGTGTGAATATGACGGCTTAAGGCACCCTAAGACTTATATACTGACATTGTTTGAAATATGAATTGAAACAGTTCTTAATAAAACAATTGTTGCTTTGCTTTTGCCTTATTCATTTTTATTCTCTTTTTCTGTCAGTCAAGCGATCTTAACTTTTATCGATGTAGCCACACAAAAAAGTACTTAAAGAGCCCTATGTATTTACTTTGAGATACATATTGGTTTTATCTTTGTGATTTTGGAGGCGAAGGGGTCTGGTAGCCGGTTAAGTCGAAGAAGTGTTATAAAACAATCTAACCAACTCTTAATGAAGTTCCTTAAACATATTTAAAACTATATAAAAAGAAAAAAATCATTTTCAGTTTTCAGGTTTTATCATTCATTGTAAAGTTGACTTCAAGTTGTCTATACTTTTAGAATTGTATAAAATTATAAAAGTTTCTACCCCGAATGATGTTCTTTAAGGGATATTAAGGCTAAATAATGACACAAATTATCTATATGTTTTATTTTGAAGCTTAAATATATCTATTATGTCGAACAAAATTAAGACGCCAATAGAATCACCGCCGAATAATTTAAAAACAAGTCAGGTGGCTTGAACAAACCCTTGAAGTAAAAATAACAGTAATTGTGGATATTGTACTATTGACACAAGTCTAAGTCATTCATTTGACATGTTCTTTAACGTTTCAAGGCTATTGTGAAATTCTATCGCTATAACCTGACCCGCAAGGTAATGTTATGAAACCATTACTTCATACTCTATATGGAGACAAGTTTTGTTTCTTTGACTGTCTAATATAATTATTTTGAGGGCATTTACAGAAAAATGAATGAAACATTCAAAGCTAATATAATAGATTATATAATTCAGTACCTCTTTATTACTTCTGGCACTTCCTTCATTTGGATTTGAGTGATGATCGTCCGCAAGGTAGCATATTCCTTGAATTTGAAATCTTTAATTTATTTCCCATATATCTTTACAAAAAAAATCACTTGTTAATGACCAAAGAGTGGATTATTTGAAGCTTTTTAAGAAAAAAAATATGGTACAAATTTGTGACACTTAGTGTCTTTGTGTAAATGTTCTAAAAATTGAAATATAAAAGGAAAATTCCTTCCCTCAGAACACAATATTCAAACATAGGAAGATTAATTGACACCAACAATACCTTAGAAAAAGAGGATATAGCATGATATGTACTAATCATTACAGTTTTTCTTAGTCAACTAATTTTTTAAGTTTTAACTAATTTATTTTTGTTGTATTATATGTTTAAGGACACCTTTGAAACAGAGGAAAATTCATCGAAACATATCTAAAAGCGTCCGTATGAAAGTTAAAATGCATAAACGTTTTAATATACCGTCGATAATGATTTGTTTTAAAGATCCTGTATGTTTTGATCGAAGTGGTAAACCATACTAAGTGACATTATATATACGTACATAATTTTGCAAAACACAACAATTTTCAAACATCGTTGAATATGTTAAATATGTACTGTAAATATTTGTGCATATTATATGTAATTATTATCATATGTGCATTCATTTCTTATTGTAAAATTTGACTTAAACCTTATAGAAAATAATTTTTTTACATCCCTTTATTTACATGAAATGTTAAATTCACTAATACGTTTATAAATAATGCTTTTAGGACCTACAATATTGATAAATCTTAATTTTAGCATCATATTCTTGATTCAAAACTATAAAAAATGTGTTACAGGATCTTTAATGAAATCTTAATAAATTGTGAATTGTCACAAGCATTTTATCACATTATATAGCAAACAAATCAGGTACACGTTTTTCAAAGTTTGCACCGAGTGAAACTGTATCGTGACTGACTGAATCTATTTAACAAATCATTTTATCTTTACTTCTTTTACATGTGTAATCCTTAATACAATAAATGAATGAATACACATTAGGTTTTCATATTTATAAAGATCAACCTTTGTGTTTGGTTGTTCTACGATTGATATTTAAATTTAAATCTCATTAGAAATTGCTGAATATATTCACTTATTTTCAATAAGAAACAAAATATAAAAAATATACTAAAAACTAAAATATTGAGAAAAATCGAAACTTTTTAAACAATTGGCAATATCATAGATTCTTAAAAGGCCTGTATGTCGTGATCAAGATGATAAACTACACTAAATGAAATTATATATTTGTGCATTATTATGCAAATCAAACAATTTTCAAACATCGAAGAATATGTAAAATATGTACTGCAAATATGTGTGCATGTTATATGTAATCATTTAAATATATGCATTTATTTCTTATTGTAAAATTTGCTTGAAACTAAAATAAATTATTGCCTCCTTTTATTTACATGAAATGTTTATTTGTTTATAAAGTTGTATTTTCACGTATAAAACACGTTTCTTTATTACAAAGTGTTTCAGTAACTTACCCGAAAGTAGCTGTAAACCAAAAATGATTATGAAAAGTAAAATTATTTTTCTTCTTCGCATTTTCAACTCATGCTCTATGTCGTCATATTAATCACTTTTATATCATAAGATAGAAAGTGTTCAGACAGACGTGAAAACTCTGACTTATATGCTTACTATATGAAACAAATATCATACGCCAATTTTTCCGAAGAATTTAACACTTATCTTTACACGAAAAAAATACAGTATACAAACAAAGTTCAACCTTAAGATATTGTTTTTAAATAAACGCTAATCAGAGCAAAACCTATTGTTTAATGGTTTATTAACAGCACTTTCTTGGCAGAAACTAAAAGTACGCAAGCGCAGTATACAATACATAAGTTGTCCAAACGTTATTTATTAGACATGTATCAAAAAGAATTATATTGTTGTTCCGTTACAACATATATACGATCAGTCCTAAAAAACTATATAGAAAATGCTCCATGTACAGTATCATTTCGACAGTGTCAAGCGTATGACTAGTTCGAAAATAAATACTAAGATTGCATCTATAATAGCTCCAGTTGTTAGCTTGCACAATCGTCGACATTGTTTCACGTTTCCTTTTAGTTTAACCTATAGTCAATGCATCCGTGCTTCAAACGATTTAAACTTGATATATCGTTAAATGTCATAACCTTTACAAAACATAAAGAAAGTCACAGGTCGGCATTGGTATCTGTAATAGATTACAAGTTAATGTTGTCAGAAAATAACATAACTTTTTATTCCAACCGTAGTATACTTTTATCTAAATATGACTCCGTTTGATATTGGTGTAATGCAGTTACAGAAGCGGCAACTGTTGCTACGCTCACGTTCATTACTTACAGACAAATCAGCTCAACAATTCTCAGATTTTATTAGAAAATGAAAATAAGTGTTACATTTTGTTATCATCTAAATAATGTTTTCAATAAAATTCTAAATTTACTTCAATCTTGTCATTGATACTTTTTATCGACATTTGTTTCTGAGTCCATGTCCAGGTTATCGGGATTTTTTAAAAAACGATTATATGGTCGCGAATGCATAAGGATTTCGATGATTTTTTTTCATATTCTAATGTATTCGGAAGATTGTTTTCAGGAAGCTTGGTTTAAAACAAAATGTATCTGTTATTTTGTGTCTGAAAATATTTCCATAACGTTAAAATCACTTACAGGTACAATTCGGTATAAAATGACTACATAAATGTGTGTTTTCAACCTTTGTTGTGGACATATTTGCACAGTTGACACCTTAACATTGTGTCCACAGAATTCACACATACATACAAATCAAAAAGTGGGTTTTTCCCTTCTCTAAACCAGGAACTACTGATGCTGTGAAGCAATGAAACGCACGCATTGGATATAGTGTTATTTGACATCACAGTGAGGCATCGCTTTTTTTAGCAGAGGCTGTCTCTAAGGTAATTACCAGGAATTTCTGATAAATTTCTTACTAATCTACCGTTATTTGTTTTATATAGCTCATTAGACCCCTCTTTAATCTCTAGAATGTTACAAGGCAATAACTCAGGCGGATAAAGATAATTTATTTGTTTTTGTTGTTGTTGTTTTGTAATGTTTTTTTTATTATTTATTTAATTATTATAAAAGTGGTATAGATGGGTTTTTTTTATTGATACAATTCCTGACTATGTTTAACAATTCTTTTATAACTATTGTAATTTTTTATTTCGGCAGTGTTTATAATATTAAATTCTAATAACGCTTATCATTTAAATTTTAAGAGTCCTTTTTCAGATAGGAACAAAGAATACTTCACCGTTTGGGTGTTTTACTCAAGTAATTTTGTTGTGGTTATAATGTATTGTGACTAAATAATTGTTGTTTCTCATAGAAATTCCTTTAAAAAATTAGGTACTGCTTTCAAAAGTGGTCATTTAAGGAAAAGTTTTTTTCGATAACAAACCCAAATGGTGTTTTGGAAAGGTTATAATCTATAAATTACTTTTTTTTGTTTTTGTTTTTTTTTTTTGTTTTTTGTTGTTTTTTTTGTTGTTGTTTTTTGTTGTTTTATTTTTATGATGATCGTTTTTGTATTATTATCATTATTATTATCGTTATTATTGCAACGTTTTTTAATGTTTGACATGAAAAGAAACGATAAAGGCACTGTCCCCTTCCCACATCTTAGAATGAAGATAAACCCAAGAAAGAGCCAAATTTGTACAGGAATTGTTTTTATTGTGTATATTTATTCTAGTACTCGAGGTTTTAAGAAACATTTTATTTGATTGCATAGAGTGCATGTTGGATTAACTGTGACAGAAATCGCCTTTGGTGATTAATAATATAATATTTATACTTGTATTTCTTAATTGTTAACATATGTTATGTTGTCAGCTTTTCCGAGGTATTTTTAACAGTTTCCCTTGATGGTCATTCTGTCTGCGGGGTGAGCCTTCTTCTCCATATTGCACGGATATCAGTAGAAGAAAGACAATTCATAAAACTGTTGTCAATAGGGTATGTAAGTCTCGTCATGTGACTTGCGAGATTTCACGATATTTTGCACTTCCGGGTACAAACAAACATCAACAACATTGCTTATCTATATTGGGTAATACTTGTATGCCGGTGGGAAAGTAAAACTTACATGGAAAAGCAAATGATATGTGGAAATGGCAGAGTTTTTTGTTTTGTAACGAAATGCAAATGGTTTCATCTTGTGAACAAGTATCAATGAAAGACAACTTCGTATAATCTTCAGGTGGGTGTGTCATTTCAAATTCAGTTTATCCCAATAAATGTTGTAATATTTTCAGTTCCATGTAAATCTAATAAATTTGTTTTTTGATACAACATCATTCGCATCTGACACCAGACTGGTGAATTTGATTTTATCAATTTTCTATAGCGCTACCTGATTATCTCTCAGAAGTATATAATGTTTAGAAATTTCGGACAGCGCATATTTCGGATAAACGTTTCAATATGATTATCAGAGTGTTTTAGTTGAATATATTTTCTTCCAACTGAAAATATTATTTATTTATAATTATTATCTTTATAAAGCACAAACAGTCAAGCTGTATATAACCAATTAAAATTGTCATAAAATTCAATGAAATATTTTGCTCCTGTAGATATTTTGACTGAGGACTGTAAAGTGGTGAGATGAAAGACGTGAACTGGTATCCGATGTTAATACACATGCATGCTCTGCTGTAAAATCGTTTTGGTAAGAAATATATACTTAAAGCTACTTAAACTACAATAATGAAAAATAAATATTATTGTATTACATATAATGTTCTCGTTTTTGTAAATAATTACAGTGTAGCTAAATAAACAAACAGTACGGCATATGTAGTTAATTCATGTTAAATACTGTTTAAAGTATTTTTCTCAAGTGAGTGGGTCATATTTTTTAGTTAAACTAGGACACCAAGAAGTGTTTCTTCCTTTTCAACATTATTTTCTATTCATGACAATATGAAAATGCTTGAAATTTATAGCTGACCAATTATTATTGCTTTCAACTCATGATAAATTTTCTTTAAATACAGGTATGTGATTTCTTGGTTGGATCTTGAGTACTTGTCATGGCTCTTGATTTATTTTGGAGTGTTCACCATCAGATTAGAAGTCAAATAGTGATACCACCAGGCATAGTTGAAAGGAAATGTCCATACACAGTCTTGGAGTACATAGTGGTAGAGACATGGCAGTCCATTACAGATTTTGACTGAATTAAAGCTTCTTAAAGCTCCATGTCTTGTGTAAACTGTCTGACTGAATGTTTGTATTCTAATAAAAACTAAGGTTGAAGACACTTCAAAGATATATGTCAGTGTAAAAATGTTATTTAAACAAAATATCTGTCTTTGTTAGAAATAAATAACCTGTCTTTATTAGAAATAATTAACCTGTCATTTGTAACTTTGTATTAACTTAATTATTCAAAGATAATTTATCTTCTGCAAATGGCTGCCCCAAAAACAGTTTCAACCAGGCATCATGTAGTTTCAAAACAGTTAAGATAAATTTGTTATAAATAGACTTGTAAAGTAACAGGAATGGTAAAAAGATAAATGTTCAGCATTAAAATGTTTCTATCTTGATTGAGTTTCATTTCATATTATCACCATGATCACTGCAATTGTAAAAGTAATGTAATCTTTAACCATTATTTAAATATCATAAAAATCATCTCAAAGAAAAACTTGTTTCTGAGGCAAGATGTGTAAAATTCCTTCCAGTTATAGCCTTTCACTGCTCTTAGAAAAGCCATGATTTGCATTGTACATGGCCAGGCAGGTTGTAATACCAGAGTAAATAATATTAATGCAATTCATCTGTGTTGAGTATTCTGTAGCAAAACACTAGCTTGCTAGCCCTTGTAAGCCCAAGTCTCTCTCTTAATTGGAGAAGACTTGCAATTCTGCATTCCTTGAAGATTTTAGTATCAGAGGGGTAGTTATTACATACCATATACTTCTTTGGGTTTCAAATTACCTGTTTTATAATGTATTGAACCTGTTGACATTTGACCAAAAGTGAATTATCTATACAATACATGCAAAACTTAGGGTTTGCACTTGATACAAAACAATTACATCACTGATACATTAATATACCCATTGGAACTGTTTCAAAATTGTCAATGTTTCAAAAAAAAACAACAAAAAAAAACACCACACAATGCTTTTAACTTCTGTCCATGTACATATGTGTAAATGTAGTCATTGAAAAGATGTCAAGAACTTTTCATCAATATTATTTAGATAGTGTCTGTTTCGATTTCAGGACAGACAAAATTCAAATGACATGCATAGTATTTAATATAGTCAATGCTTGCATATTCAAGCAATCTAGCCATTGCTGTTAGAGAATTAAAGTACACAGTGACACTTATTTTGCAGATGAACTCTTATGATCAAACACTGCTATAGATATAATTATGCCAAATAGTAGAAACAAAAACAGTTCATAAGTTTAATAAACTTTTATTTTTACACAATTTATAGTGCACTGCTTAGCATATATATCACACTGATTTTCCAGTGGAAGAAAAACTTCAGGAAAGCACTTGGAATTATTATTAGTTATTTGGACAATGTAACTTTACACTGTGAATGCCTACTGATACAAGAATAAGAATATTTCCTTTTACAAATGTAAAGACTTTGAAAATTAACATGAACAAATTATCATAGAGTTATAAATCATATTCTAATTGAAAAATGTTCAGCTTGATATCAAAGCTTTGATTGCAAATTTGTGAGCTTATCAATGATTACCTCACAATATTAGTAGTAGATGATATATAATATTTTTACTAATCTTTACTTCATAGTCATTTAATGTCCATAATGTCATATGACTATACTGTGATTCCATGAAAAACCTTATCTCTGGTGTGTTATCAGCTTTGGTATATATAGAGTATCTAGTTTTAATACTTAAAACTGCAATGAAATGTGGATATTTTACTCTGTTTCTATCATTGTGACATTAACATGTTAACAAGATCATAGTGTCAAACACCATAAAATCATACTCTTTATACATTAAGATTTTTGTGCTGGATGTCATTCATCTTCTTCAGGAAAGTACATTTGACTATTCTCAGTGGCTTATATTAAACTAATATTTCACTGTAACTGTGTGTTCTCTGATATCATTCAGATTAAGGAACTGGAAGATGGTAGTTGCAATAAAGGTCTTCATGGACAAATCCTCCTTCATCTTTTCCCTTTTTATCTGCAGAATGAAAAATCAATAAATATGTTGTTACAAGTGTAAGACACTAGAAATGATATTTTCATTACAGAAAAATTTCATATTTGAAGTAAATAAACATTAAAGATAAACAACAACACATAATATATATAAGTAAAAAATATTGATCTTCTTGAATGTGAAACATGACTATTTTTAATGTTTTATTTACTTATCAATTATCATGCAGTGAAATCCAAGTTATTAATATATTTTGATAATTGTTTATCTTTCCAATCTCAACTAAAAATTAATCAATTATTTTTAATATTTTACATGTATTTACCTTTGATGTATAGATATTTCAGGATCATAGGCAGTGCAAACAGTTGATTAATGGTCCATATTGAACAACTGTATATTCTATACTTGTCATATACCTCCTTGTCTATACATCTGAAATGGTTTAATCAAATATTATATTTTTTAAATCAATCATAATTTGCTAGGTACCATATTAACATGTATATATAATTGAAAAAGGAACAAGAATAAAATGGAAGGGAAAAAAATATCCGAATTACTGTGCAATGTCCGAATTTTGTATAACTTTAATATACACTAGAATTAAAGTGTTTCTCCATTGTTTATTTCAACAAGTTAAAATGGTTTGAATTAATTTCTCACATCAGTAGTTTTAAATCAATACTAAAAGCTAAACAACTAGAATTCACTACCTTGACAAAACATCCGAAACAATTGTCACTATCCGAAAATAAACTAGTTTTATTAAACTCTATAAATCCCTCGTTTTTCCGTCAGATAATTGACCTACCTGCATTTTTTGACCCGTGCTATCCATTCCTTCAAATCTGAAGAGGACCGAAACAAATTTAACTTCTATATCCCTCGAGTTCTTCGGGTTACCTATATGCGTAACGGTAAATAAGTCTGCCGATGTACCCGGAAGTGGTAAATCGAAAGTGAAAGTAAACGAGACTTACGGGCCCTATAAGTGTATTGTATTTAGATTATATTATATAACATTATTTTAATCAGGCTAAATTGTCATGAATCAACATCTTTAGATAAGAAATTATTTCTACAATTTTCTCAATATTTTCTGTCTATCTATGTATTTATGTAATAGATTCAAGGGTATTTATTTGTTTTGCTTCAATATTGGAGATTGTTCTCAATATGATTCATTTTCTTCATGAAATGTAATGACATTTAATGTAGCTAACTTGCTGACAATATATATTCAAACTCTTTATATATAATGCATTTAGAAAATATCTACAAAGATAATAATGCATGTTACTAAAGTGAGGTAAATGACTGTCCTATTACATATACGGGAAGCAATTTAAATGTGTTACATTTTAGGTATAAAATATATTCCTCTAATTCTATGGACATTTTAAACAATCTCTGTGTTGTTTGATGCAACGCAATACTCACTCGCAATGCTAGGGGGCGTGGACGGTAACTTGCACTTTCCAGTACCGTCCATGAACAGGCTCAATCAAACCGAGCCTGCAACATTTTCAATTTTGCCGTGTTGGGCTTTCTTTAGAAATTCTGTATTTATCTATTTTATGATCACATCCGTGTTATTTGTGCCGTATGGCGGCTGTAAAAAGTCTCCCCGTACATTTAATCAATGATGTTATATTTTCGATCCTTGAAGATCGTTCAGCACGACAATATTGTTGTGCTTGTGGTATTTTTAGTTTCAACTTTTCGGCATTTTCTAGTTGGGTGGTTCCAAAATTCCTACTTGAATAATGTTGAATCACCCTTAGGATATGTTGCCTGCTTTTTAAATTTGTCTTTTGACGTCTTATCTGTGATACGCAGGCTTCATAACCTCTGATCCCCTTTCACAATTCCATTTCATTTAGTTCCGCCCATTGTATTCTCGTTTAGGGCACACGCTTTTTATTACTTGGGGACCATACGCCGTTTTTCATGGATGGCACGGAAGTGTCACATTGAAGGTTCCATGATAACCGCCGTATGAACACATCTGCGGATGTTTCTAAATTCAAAATTGTACTATTTCATGTTTAAATGTTGAATTCTGCTTAAGCCGGTGCTAGGGGGCGTGGACGGTAGTTTGCAGTTGACAGTACCGCCCATGAACAGGCTCAATCAAACCGAGCCGCAACATTTTCAATTTTGCCGTGTTGGGCATTCTTTAGGGATTCTGTATTTATCTATCTTACATGTATACATAATTATACATTTATTATGTTTTGTATACTGCGCTTACGTACATTTCGTTTGTTACAGGAAAATGCTGATAAATTCAAAATGTATCATTATCTTTTGTATCATTTAACGCTTTATCGATGTATTCAGAAAGGAAATTATCATTATGCATTATACATGTTAAGCGGACGCGGAAACGAATGTCACATGAAAAATAAGGAACTATTTGGAAAGGATTATACATTATATCATTTACTAGTAAACTAGAATTAGGAACATGTACTGTTTTACAATAATTTCTTAATTCGAGTTGTGATGCATTTTGTATCATATTTTATTACAATTCTGTTAAAAGACATCTCAAAGATTAAACAAACGACAATCAGAAAAAATACATTTTCTTAGCAAACTGTTTCTGGTCACTGCTTTTGTCTATTATTTTTCACTATGCATTGTGGGCGATACATAGTCATTGTGACACATCTTGATCAGTTCGTTATATCTACAATACTGTCACTATAGATGACACTGTCAGTTTTCATTTCAATACATTGAATCATGTTTTTGGAAGCAAGCCATTATTTATTAAATGAGTTAATGATTTTTTAATAACTGAAACTGAAAAAAATGCTTTAATAATTTTTAAAATGTAATGAAATCTACTTAGTTGACCGTATCAGATTGTCCTCTTAATTGATAAGATCACTCAATTTAAAAAATTAATCTGCAAAGTGATCATTTTTATTTGATGTGCACTCGGCACACGGAAAGAGCTATAAAAAATATTCACTCTGTTTAATTGACACCAAGTCCATGATCAGTGATCTAGACACTGAAATTTAGATCTGCTCTGAAAATTGGCTTACTCAATACGCTCATTCATCATTGTTGACAACAAGTCAAACCCCAATCAATAAACATGTGTACACAACACATATATAACTTAATTCACTATCTCAATATTGAGGACAAAATGTTAATTCCGGAACTTCTGAAATCCGGAAACTTCTAAAAACCGAACAATTTTTTCGGTCCCGATTTTTTCCCTTCTATTTTCTATTAATATAATACTTCTGAATTCCGGAACTTCTAAATTCTGAATTCCGGACGATGTTTTCGTAAAATTAGAGTCAAATCAATGCAATTTTACCTCCAAAATCCGGAAATGTCCAAAGGTGTGAAACAACTGTAAATCGAAGATGTTTACCCTGCAGGAAGATTAAGTCTCCCTATCGGTTGTTTACCAATTAGCGGTGATCGTTTAATTTGACACACGTTAAAATCACAAACCGTGAAATGCTATGTTTGAAGTGATGCGGTTAATTAAAATAATTTACGACGGTCAGTTAATTTGAAGTGTTAACGAGTATTAGCGGATTAAATGACAATTAGTTGGGACAATGTATGCATCAAAAGTCTTTAGGGATTTTATTGCATTTGATGTACTAATTAACTAGCATCGGACAATATGTAAGTTTATGCAATTAACAACATTTCTGATAAAACTGATAAAAATTCAAAGGCATTTGCAGTATTAAATAAAGTGTTAAATATAAATGTTTTCTTTTCATTCACATCTTTATTTTGATTAAATGACTATTTTATATGATATTACAGTAATGACATTTATTAAATGGTTCGGCGCTATCTGTCAAAATTCGTTTCTGCATTGTTCTCCCAACTAAAAGAAGTTATATTATATGATGGCCGAATTGAAATATTAAAAACTATGTTCTCAGGCGTTTTGCTAAGGTTTAAATTAATAAACCTTCTCATATGTGAAATAAAGTTTAAAAAACAAAGATTTACAGAATTTACTGCGTTGGCCTGTTATAGTAAGGCGTACGCGTATAAGCGTCTTCCCCCCTTAAATACTTGTTTTAACATTATGAATATGATTTGCAATGAATTAAGCTATCATTAAACATAGTTATTAGGGTTTCCTTTTAATTCCTAATATAGACGGCGTACGCTTATAAGCGTCTTCACCCTTTTTAATTTAAGTTTAAATTTTTAAATACAGCTTTTTAAATCTTAGTGTGGGATATAATCCCACCTTTTTCCGGTCCCATCTAATGTAACTATTTGTATATTTCGGACAGGAAATATTGTACTCACTAGTCACATATGCAGATATTAACTAAATACAGTTTTTTCCTTGTAATAAATGAAGCATATGCTCGCCCATATGGTTTTATACCGGTGGCGAGGGTAAATAAACCCAACACCACACTGGCATTTAGTGACATTAAGTGGCTTTGTCTTGTCCACATTATCCGAAACCCCTGAATTCCGGAAACCTCTGAAATCCGAACTCTTTGACAAGTCCAATGGGTGTTCGGTTTTCAGAAGTTACACTGTACTACATTATTCAATGCAAGTTATAGCTATAGCTTATTCAATACACCCAATTATCATTGTGGACATCAAACAAGTACCCCAGCGTATCATGCACTTAGCAGTTTTACCCTGCAGAACTCACTCAAGAAATTATCCTGCAGTGTGGGCGCCAAATCAATACTATATCAATCAATGCGCCCTGCAATGTACACACAAAGACAAAACTCACTCACTCAATAATGTCATCTGTTATTGTGGACATCAAGTATCCACTATTTCACACTATAATTTTTTATGGCATTTTGGACACCGAGCAAACGCTACATCGATAAGTTATTTTGAAAGAGTTGGATATCATGCCTCGCAAGAAATATATATTGGTAGCAAATTCGCATCGATAATGACAATATAAATGTGAAGACATTTGCAATGCCTGCCAAGACCAAGAAAAACCCTTATGCCCACACAAGTTGGCAAAACGGTCATTTTTCTTACGGTATACTTAAGCCAGCGCTGGTGTGTATGTGCCAAATTGACACGATTTACGCGGTGAGGTAGCCTCAAAACACAACCAAAGTATGGTCGACGTCCATGTTGCAACCTCGTTCCAGCGATCGCCCACAGTTAGGGCAGATATACGGTTATAATGTATACCTGAGTTGTTATCAGCAGTAGATGTGAGTGTTCCGAATAAAGCTGTATTGGGCTCTAATTGGTGGACAATAATATATCATTTTTCTTGAGTCTCAAACAAGCATTACCTATCGAACCACCGGCACACTGATATCTACTGAAGGCCTTCAAATGATTACCATAATACGTGGTCGATCTTCTGTACGCCCTGTTGCTTGAAAATGTTTCCTAAAGTGTTGGATAGCACGAGTTAGATATCCAATATTCATAGCGACGACATTTATCGTCATACAATCATTTAGCATGCCAATAGCACGTTGGCGTAAACTTTGCGAAATTATAGGCATATCAAAAATAAAGAAAACTGAAAACAAAAACACCGCCTTTTCCTTATTGACATGAAAATCTATAAAAGTAGATTAAAATGTTTCATAAAAATATAACAATCTACTGACCCGTGCTTGCACGTGCAAATCGCGTTTATCGGGTTTCCCATGCAAAACGAGTAAAATTTTAGGTAAAATTTGATTTATCGGACATATAATCATTCGTCTCATATGACCTTTTTTATTTTTTAAATAACAATATATTTCCGTTTAAACACAGGGAAAGTTTCTTTTTGTTCAGTTTATATCAATATCATAATTAGAATTCAAATACATTACGCAAATATAATACACTTAATTGCAATACAAATGTACACAGTGCAATAAAATACACAAATAAAAACAATAAAATACAATACAGCTGTATACAGTTTAAAACAATGCACGACATAATACACAAATACAATGTATACAGTACAATACGAAACACAATAAAATAAAATAAAAATACAGACGGAAACTACAATAAACAATGTAATGCATGCAATACAGTACGAGTTAAATTTAATTTGACAAAAGAAATAAAAGGTATTTGTAATTTATGAAGCAACAAACTTTGGCCTTGATTGGTAGTCTAAATTTTAAGATGTTTCTAAGGCCTTTTTTACTTTTCCTTTTAAATATTTATTTTTACACTCGGATCTTTTTTAATTATACATTTTGCATATACATAGTCATATATTTCCAGAGTTTTATTGGTGTCATTAACATGTACGCATTTTAAATCTAAATGTCAGTATTGCTTTGAACATTATCGAATAAGAGTGATTTAATTTCCCTGAAAAATCCAAGACGGCAAAAGTGTTGCATGCTGGGTTTGAATGAGCCTGTTCATGGACAGTACTAGAAAAAGCTACTGTCCACGCCACCTAGCAACGTCTTAAGCGGAATTTAACATTTGAATGTGGTTATAGCAAAACTGTAAATTAGAAACTGAAAGCTCGTATATTGTTCACTAGTTGAAATAGAACGACTAGTTACAAATATTACGCCATTTCAACAAATAAATTGATCATGTAGGATATATCTATGTAAAAAATATGAACATATACCTGTGCTAAAAAATAATCACTGTGTTATTCCAAATACCACGCGTTTTCATAGCTTCAACAATGTTCCCAACTTCCTCGTCCATACAAGATACCATTCCTAAGTTTTATATAAAAAATGGTTACAGAATATCTTTTTTTTTAATTTGCATTATTATTTTGAGGCTCTATCATGAATCCATAAATGAAACAAACAAATTCTAGCAAATTATTGCCAAACAGTGTTTAATTAGGAAATTCATATTTATTAAAATACCCTGCAGAGTAAAACTTTCTATAAATGTAAAGTTTGTAATAAATATAACCTTAATACTTGGACATACATTGTATTATATTTATATAGATGTCTTTTTAAATATATCACCGAGTGAGCACCAAAAGGTATATTTCACGTGTGGCGCAGCCACGAGTGAAATATGAACTTTTGGTGCTCACAAGGTGAAATATATTTCGATCTTACACTAAACTAAACAAATTTTCTTTTTATTAAATACAAAGAAACGTTTTAAAAAGACATCAAACCTAATACTGAATGAAAAGCGCGCCAAATAATAATACAACATGACGTCATTTACGACGTCACGTCATTAAGTTGGTCCCAAGGTCTGTGTACGCTTGTATTTCACTGAAACAACGTATGGGGCTTAAATTCAAAACAGTGAATTATCAAAGTGGTAATTTCACTGTTTCAAACAGTGAGTTTATCAGTTTTATATCACTGATATATTTCTATAAACCACCGAAAAGCAGGTAATAAAATAATATAGTTTATCATATATCTATCAGAAGAATCACATCTTGCATCCATTATGTTTATTCATCTTTTCAAAATGACTTTGATGACATGATTTTGTAATTTGAATTCAATGATAATTTTAGAAAAGTACCTGCGTACTTTCGTCGGTTTATATCATTGATATGAAGGTATTCGTTAACATACTTGTCTGGTACCTGGAGAGGAGCATGCACAGCTTGAAACGATAGGTATATGAACATCGGCTGAAATGTATTCTAATTTTAAAATATGTTATGCAAAATTTTATTCAACAATTTTTCTAGATAAAGTGGGAAAAAGTAATTCATAAACATGTATGTACGTAAATGTCTTTGCGCAAATTCTACTTTCCAGTTTTCAATAAAAAAATTATTAAGGTACCCGCTTTAGATCGCCAAAATATTCTTAAATTATTTGCATTTGGTTTGGTTTATCAGAAAGGTCTGATGAAATATGCAAATCTTTAAGAAATATGTAAATGGGTTGGAAAATACTAAGAAAATTTAAGTATAAGCACTTTTAAAAAGAAAAGCAAAGAAAGCAAAAGTGCATAAATATTTAATATTCAACTATTTTATTATATTATTGGACATCAGTTTGCAATTTATCCCATAAATATTACATTTATGATAAAGTCGAAATATTAATGCAGGCAATATGTATTAAAACCATAACAATGACGCCTGGTTTAATTTTATTCAAAAAAACTGACTTTAACTATACGTTATCACTATCTTGTTTTCGAATAATGTTTTTCACTTTCGTTGCAAAGAGTTGTGTAGAGTAAGCGCCATTATATCTTGATATATTTGCCGGTGCATCATTTTCCATTAAATCATAACCAGTCATAAGCTTTTCTTGGTAGTTTCCCGTTATATGCGTATAATAGTCCGAATGCCCGCTTAAAAAACCTGATCGAATGACATTTAACGTATCATTTTACGCTTACAGTTTAGGCAAGAAAAATAAATTTAAGAGTTGTTCCAAAATGTTTATGGGTGTTTGCAAACCTATAAGACAAAGTCTTAAAATTCTTAACGCTATTTAGATATCAATAGCATTTTCATTTTTGTGATTTAGTTTGCAATTTATATTGAATTTTTGATTATCATCATTGACAGATTTTGCATAATTTTGTTCGGAGCAACATGTAAATCTACAAATGTCTTCTGCTGCATTCAGTTATAATGTTTACTTATAACATAAAACATAAATACCAAAGAATGTATCAAATCCACGACTGGTTGGTAAAAACTCAGGTTTATAAAATCCTAAATGCCATTTTCCTACCATATGGGTGGCATAGCCAGAGTCTTGCAACTTGTCTGCTATTGTAGGGTAGTCAAGTGGAAGCCCTGCTGGAGTTGCAGGCCATAAAACCCAATTAAGACCTGTATGAATCTGAAGTAAACAGAAAGGTCAATTAATTTGAAATGCCTTTAGTATGTTTAAAGGGCTTTATTAGGCCGTATGCGTTTGTCTGTGCTTGTTTTGTTATACAGTAGTTAACTATTTTCATATTTACGTTTATATTTATTTTTTATTAAAATAAAATGAAATTAGAACCTTTATTAAATAATACAACATAAGTCAAAGATGTGAGAGTTGTTCATAATATAAACAATCTTTGTAAAGGCGCAGTGATATTTTCTCCATAACCATATCATAATTATTATTTATAAGTTATTTGAACATAAAATATCGATTTCATACCTGATATTTGCCAGTTAGAAGTTGTCCACGTGTCGGTGTACACACAGGTTGAACATAATAATTTTCCAGTCTTACACCTGACATAGCAAGTTTGTCAATGTTTGGGGTTCTAATTTCTGAACCATGATATCCAAGATCGTTATATCCAAGATCGTCGGCAATTATAAAAATAATATTTGGTCTTGTTTCTCGACACTGCGGGATAGCTTTCAAGACTCTATAGAATGACTTTATAGTAATAACCTTTATAGATGAAAATATAAATGAATAAAAATTTAAACACAAAAATATAATAACTGCAATTTTAATAAATTGCTTTGCTTTTAAAACTATCATCTTTTATTGTAGATTAAATTGTTTCACACAACTGGCATTGATAAACGATAAAAGATATTAGTTTAAATCCATAAACAACATTTAATTGAACTTCTCTAAATGTTTAAGTGTAAATAAACCTTATTTTCGTATTATCAAAATCTGCTTCTCACAATGTACACTGTGATGTATGAAATCTGTTTGTCGTTTATTACATTGAATAGATCAAAATAATAATCAGCAAACTACCAGTAACGTCTTAGTTTTTAATATTAAGCACTATATCAACAAAGGGGGGGGGGCATTCATCGGCAAAGTGCCCAACATGAAAACAAACTGGACATGGCATTTGAGCAAAACCCAATAACGGACTTTATGTCATTATAAATTATTAAAATAGGACATCATAGAAACCTACAAGGTAATTCAAGATAAAAAGTAATTAAAGGCCTAGCAAACGATAAAGATAAAGGGGAAAAGGGCAGAGGGTTTGTGGGCAAAAATGAAAAAAAGCTAGAGGGAAAGGAAAGAAACAAAGAAGAAACAAAAAGTGTCACCACAATTGTTTGTAACAATAAACAAGACATGCGTATGTGGAACAAAGAGTAACTCCGCCTTAGAAAAGTGAGCAGCATAAGCTCTGCTTGCGAGTTTCAACCGGTAAATGATGTATCAAACCTACTCTTAGCTCCCACAGGGTATATATTGCCTTTGTTATAATATTGCACGTTTGAAATCTTTAGAACTTATATTCTTGCATATCAGACTGGCGTTTCCGTTAGTTTTACCCATGCCGGAAATTTTATCTGGCATGGGGTTCCAGATGAGTCGCGTGCTGTGCAATGGCACGATAAAGATGACGTCATTTTACCGTTATGAATGATTTTGTAATTCATACGCTGTTGAATGAAAGTAGTTACGGTTGTAATGATATAAATTTTCATTGAACATAAAGATAAAGAATTTAAAATATAATGGATTATGTAGAATATGCAAGAAAAAATATCTGACATATGTTTGCGGTACGGATCGGAATATCCGTCCCTCGGTCACCCGCCCATGGGCGGTAACTCGGCAAGCCTCGTAGGGTCACCTCGGGACGGATATTCCGACCCGAACCGCAAAATATGACAGATATTATTAATCTAAACTTGCATATAAAAAATACATCCATTTTACTATCAACATAAAATTGTTATGTAAAGAAAATAGAAATTATGTAATTGAAAGAAAAGAATAGTCGACCATTTTTCTGAAATATCTATTTCATATTCGAATGTATTCGAATGTATTCATATGTTTCAAAAAGAAAGTTGTTATATTATCGTTAATTTATAAATATATACTATGCTAACATTTAACATTTGACAATATTGATATTTTTCTTCATAGTCTCTTTGTAAATATAAAATAAATACATTTTGATTTCAAACAAAGTAGATATGTCATGTTTAAAATACTACAACCCATTGATGCTCTCAATATGAATATGAATATTTAGTATGATTAAAATCTGGCATTTTTTAGAAAGGATCTTTTTATTTTGTCCTGTAATAGGGAATGCAGCTTCACATACCTAGTATATTCGTTCTTTCATTCAAATTAGACGTACATGGGTATTTCATAGATTTTAATAAAATGTGATTAAAATATTCTTCTCAGGGATGAGCATAATATATTTTTTATAGTACTATTTAAATTATAATCACCTCGATCAAAAATTGCTCCATTTTTCATTGCCTGAAATTACAATGCGTTACAATGAGAAACATTGAATCCCTCATGAACACCCAAAGCGACAAAATTTAGATAATGTTGCAGGCTCTATTTGAATGAGCCTGTTCATAAACGGTATTGGAAAATTCAAGGAGTTGTCCCCGCCCCCTAGCACCGGCTTAAGAAAGATTCAATATTTAAACACAAAAATGACGAAATTTGAAATTAGAAACATCCGCAGATGAGTTCATACGGCGGTTAGGAATGTCAGATACATCGATGTATATCAGTTATGAAATTGCACTTCTTTACATTTCTTTCTTTCAATGTCTTTTAAAACAGATAGATTATTACGCAACAGAAGGCCGTGTTTCGTTTCAACTAGCTTAATGTTATTAAAATGTACATTTATTTTCTATTCTTCAAGAGTTTATTTCAAGCAATAGGAAATAAAACTCAACGAGGAACAAATGCTTGTTTGAGTTTTATCTGCATTAATTTAATGATTAAAATAAGACTTTGCCCCGTACTTCACTTCAGTGTTGTTATATTTTCTGGTCCTTCGGGATCATTGATGCCAAACACTGTAAAGTGTTAAGAAATGAGTACCGTTCAAGCCGGTGCTAGGGGGCGTGAGGGATGTTGCACTTATTCATTTATCCCTCATGTACAGACTTAATCAAACCGAGTCTGCAATTCTTATGTTATTTTGTTGTGATTAATGCTTCCGAGGGATCACTTTGTTTCCAGAATTTTGTAAAGACAGTGGTAACTAAACCTGACCTGTATTGCCCATATGAAAAAAGTGTAGTATTTTTTAGCTGTTTTAAGTATATTTTCCAAAAACAAATCGGATAAAAACAAGACCGGCAGAATTCCTTTACTGTCTTCCTCGATTTCCTTTTATTTTCCATTTTCCACCCATTAGTGTTGTAAAATGATATGTTTCTGGTCATGCATATCTTTGTTTCACTATCTGTTTGCCCAAATATGTATAAAAGACATAAGTTGATTACAAGTATTGTGAAATTTAACAATTCTGGCTTCTTGTTTTACGAAGTATCGAGGGGGTAAATTTGAACAATGGAAATTGATATAAAAAATCATATATATTAAAAGAGAATTAAGGGGAAAACATCGTATTGAAACTCTTGTAAATCTACAGCCCATCTGCCCGTATGTCACCAACTTTGTCTAAACATAGTATATTTTACTCATGAAACACGTTTGGCAAACATACAACAATAGATAAAATCGTTTTACTGTGATGAGCAGGATTGCTCTTAGAACTTGAATAACATTTTTAACGAAAATAATCCAGGCACTGAGCAGATGCCTTATACGTGCCATCTTCTTTTACAATATAGCCACTCGAACTCAAAACAGATAAACCATTAAACGGCATCTCCTCAGTCAACGGACAAATTGTAGTAAACCTCTATATGAAGGGTCCTTTTTAAACATTGTCACCGAAATAGATTGATGTGCACATAAATTTTCTTTAACTATTTTTATGAAAATGATTCAAACGCAAAACTGCATCACATATTTTATATAAATTTATTTATTTTCTCGCTCCACGATATGTAAAATGCTTTAAGTTTAATAGAGAGAAGACCATGAATTTTTGAAAGTGTAAGCCGTAAAAGTGTATGGCGAAAAAAAAACTTTTCATTTTATGTGATGTTTTAAAAGTAATAAAATCACTATCTGCAATTTCATTAATCAATCTGAAACTCTAAGTTTACAAACATGGACATTTTACATTTATAATAATCAGGATGAAAATGTATTGTAAACATTTAAACAACGATTTAAGTAACATAGCATTGACAAATTAATTACAAAAACCTCGAATGTCTGTTTCTTTTTTGTCAATAAAGATCATAAAAAGCAAATAACATGAAATTGTCGTCTGAAATGAGTATCTCTGAATTTATTTATTTATTTATTTATTTTGTTATCTTATTTATTCTAAATAAGCGTTTTATTTATTAACAAGCGAATAACAAATTAATGTAGGGTTTTTCTTTTCAATTTGATGCAAGCTTGTACTTATACATATTTCTTGAATACATATATAATAAATCATATTTCGATTTAAATTCTAAATTTATTCTGTTGCTATAATGTGTTATATCAAAACGTATATTACAATGGCAAAAGTTATGTTTTTCTTTCCTACCCTAACCATATCTTGACTTGATTTGAGAAGTATGTCGCAATCTTCATAGGGTATCTCGCTCGGATTTAAGATTTCTCACTTCAGTGAAATGAGCGTGTTTTATTACACCACAAGTACGTACCCCTTTGCAACTTAAAATGCGAAGGAAGCACTAGCAATATTGTCATAAAACACGTGCTTATATTATTTCCACCATAGTTCTGATAATCAAAAGCTGCTTAAGTCTATGGTAAACTTTTCATTTTCTTATATTTGAGTCATGAAGTATAGACAAATCAAATTTCATTACCGTGGGTTATATCAATTATATCTATATCTATTATGTTTCTATGTTAAATTCCATAACAATAGTTAAAGTGCTGATAAAGTGCTTCAAGTGTCTTTTTTAAATAGAAAATCTCGAAATCTGCACACACTAAATTATCATGTATACTTTATTTGGTTGTAATTATGGCATACATATGTACAGGTAAGTTATGATTGTTTACATACCACATGGGTAAAGGAATTGAGGAAAAATTGGTCAAATAGCACGTTGAGTTTTTTTAATTATATTTAAAATTTGAAGAAAAGTTAGTTATATAGTACAAATTATGTAAATGTAAAATATGATAAACAAGATCAACAAGAAAAGGCGGCGTTCAATGAACGCAACCGCCATATGACCCAGCAACAAGAACCAGTGGCAAGGAGCCCATGCGGGCACCAAACAAAAACAGGACAGGGCACAAGACAGAGCACGGACAGGTCAATCACCAAAATTATAAATAATTTGTAACTGACAAGAAAACCAAAGAAAAGAAAACAAATAAATGATTGAATAATAGGAAATAATTTGTAATTGATAAGGAACTCAAATAAAATAAAACAATGATTGAATGATAGGCCCACAAAGTCAGAGAGGACATGGGAAGGGGACAGAAGACCCGGGATAGGGTTAGGGTTAGGGTTAGGGTTAGGTTAAGGGATAAATACGAAATGCAACACCAATGCAACACTTTTTTCTGATTGGTCGGAATAGTCACGTGTTTTTTCTTTCAATATGTATGCGCGCGCTTCTAAATACAAATTGAATGAGACAATGTCTTTTTTTGATATTGCTTTGTTTGAGGGAGGCTAAAAAGATTTTGTGTGTGTTATTTAAATGGTGGATTAAATTATTTATAAAACGTGCAGAATGTGAATTGAAATTGTTATTTTGATTTGGATATTAATAAATGATAAACATGGATTATGGCAATTTCTATATGG